TTACAGGTAGTCAGATAGATATGAAAGCCTGAAAGATATGTAGGTAGATAGATAGATAGAAAGGAAGAGACTGATAAATATGACTGGTCTGATAGATAGATAGATAGATAGATAGATAGATAGATAGATAGATAGATAGATAGATAGATATGAAAAGACTGGAATATATTGATAGATAAATAGACAAACCGATAGATATAAAAAGGCTGATAGATAGTTATTAAAAGCCTGATAGATAGATAGATAGATATGAAAAGTCTGACAGATGGGTAGATAGATAGATATGACGTCTAAAATGTACATAAGAAAAATAAATAGATATATCGATAGATATGAAAAGCCTGGTAGATTTACAGGTAGTCAGATAGATATGAAAGCCTGAAAGATAGGTAGGTAGATAGATAGAAAGGAAGAGACTGATAAATATGAAAGGTCTGATAGATAGATTAGATAGATAGATAGATAGATAGATAGATAGATATGAAAAGCCTGGAATATAGAGATAGATAAATAGACAGACCGATAGATATGAAAAGCCTGATAGATAGTTATGAAAAGCCTGATAGATAGATAGATAGATAGATAGATAGATAGATAGATAGATAGATAGATATGAAAGCCTGATATATAGATAGTTCTATACGTATGATACAAATATTTATTTTTCAGAGAAAAATAAATCTGCTAGGTTTCATAAAATTACACTGGCTGACTGATTGTTAATTTGTTATTATTTGGGGCAAGAAATGACTTGTTAGTGCGAATGCTTGCAAAACGAAACTGCTGTCTGTTCATCTTAAAAAAAATCTGTTTTTACCCGAGAAGTAAGGAAACGGAAACACCGTTTTAGCCATTGTTCAACCACGGAAGTACTCTTTCGGCCATATTGTGTATCTATGAATAAAAAGCAGGAGTATTGCTTCTATAGATAGAAATCATGAGAACCTCCATTGTCGTTGTTATTATAGACTCTTTTACGAAGTTGTGACAGAACCTTTTTCGCCTAGATGATACTAAACTACAAGCGAGTAACACAGTGCAGAAAGACCTGTTTGAACTTGTAGGAAATCTCGATCTACTTGGAAAGGATGTTAGAATAATACAGACTTAAACTGGGAATAAACCGTCTGCATACGGATAAAAATGAATTGGGTAGCTAGGCATAAATAGAAAGCGGGTTAAGACTAAGCTCTCCTAAGGGATCTGGAGACCTTATCACTATTTATTATCAGATGGCGTAATCGTTACCATATAAGATATGTGGATGTCACGATGTTGATAATTGAAACGGTAGAGCCGTAAAACGTAGAGAAACAAAGGACTGTCAACTGCACCAATAAGAGACATAGCATTCTAGTCACAAATTGGAGATGTCAAAATGAACTGCTCTCAATTTACCGACCATAGAGAAACCTCCTATCAGCATGGCTGATATTTAACTTCACATGAGCGTATCCCTGCTCCTTCCTGGTCTCACGTTTTTCAGTGACCTCAGGTGGAACAAGTACAATCTACCGTAATCTACATCTACCGTAAGGTTTCTCGCGTCTGAGCCTATCCTTCAAGTCTACAAATCTACCGCTCGACCTTGCATTGAATACTGCTGCCATATATGGTCTGGTGCCCCCGCTTTTCATCTCGATGTTCAAAAACAAAATCCAAAGAGGAATATGCAGTCTGATAGGTCCTGACTCTAGCCACTTTCTCATAGACTTGATGTGGTTTCCCTCTGTCTTTTCTACAAATATTTTCATGGCAACTGCTCTGATGAGGTATTTTCACTGGTGCCCCAACTACATGAATTTAAGCGTGCTACCAGGTTGGCATTTCGGTCATCTTACTGCTGAAACATGATCGTCCAATCGCGTATCGCGTATGGTACTTAACTGACTGACGGATACAAGTTAACCCATAGGTGGAGGAGAACAGGTGTATTCATAATGTGATGGTAGCAGCAGCCGCGTTATTGTTAGCGTTATTTGTTACCTCTTTGGTATGTTTATTACTAATTCATAAAGTCACTTTATCAACCAGTAACAAGATATCTTCTCCCCCGGGCTATGGGTTGAATAGCAGGAGCGACTGTGTTGTATAGCCTTAGTTGGCAAACAGTTTACTGCATAAAAAGACGGCAACCTACTGCGGGAACATCTGCTTAGTCAGTCATGAATCGAAATAGACATTATCGCCCAAGCGTGTCTCATGTATGGAACTTAACTGACTGATTGATACAATTTAACCCATAGATGGAGGAGAGCAGGTGCATTCATAATGCGATAGCAGCAGCAGCAGCTACGCGTCAGCGTTATTTGTTACCTCCCTTTAGCATTTTTGTTTACTACTTCATAAAGTCACTTTATGAACCAGTAACGACATATTTTCTCACTCGGTCTGTGGGTTGAATAGCAGGAGAGTGTGTCTTATAGCCTTGGTTGGCAACCAGTCTACCGCAGAAATAAACGGCAACCTACTGCGGGAACATCTGCGTAGTCAGTCATGAATCGAAAGAGACACGATCACCCAAGCGTGCATCATATATGGAACTTAACTGTATGGACGTTTTGAAAAAATGCAACCCCAAAATCCGAAGACGCACTAGACTAGCACAAGGTGTGTTCCGAAAGGGAATCACAGTTTTCAGATTCGTTGGAAAAAATAAAAGAGTCCTGGATTGCTACGTGATATTCTTCCTCTATTATGGCCGCGTTTGCTGGACAATCTCTTCATAGCTGAAGAGGAAACTGGAGACAAGTAACAGGAATTTGGTTCTACAGAAAGATACTGACTTAATAAAGAAGTCTTAAAGAAAATGCCAAAAATAAGAAACACTTACACTTAGAATCCGAAAGAGAAAACTGAAATTACTTTTACACATAATGTAGACGAGCGTTTCCAGGCCATTACGGCGTATATGGAGGGTAAGACGGTCAGGGGAAGGCAGCAAGACTCTATTTCCGGAGATTGTGTGAATGGACGGTGAAATGAGGAGCGAGATGCTTAGCAAAAGGAGAGAAAACTGCTACAGGCCACGAGGATTAGGATGTTTTGGAGAGCCATTTAACATCCATGTCCTAAAAGGACGCGGCACATATTAGTCCTAGATGAATAAGATAAAGCGATACAAAGTTAGATGTCCCAGTTTTTCTGAAATTTCACTGCGTTGACTTGACTTTGTAAATAAATACTGTCTACATGAGCGCCATAATTATTTTTTAAACTATATTTTAAACTGTCTATTTTAAACAGTATTTATTTTGTCTACCGACCCGCACTTATTCAAGTATCCTGTCGGGGAGCATATTTTTTTTTAGTTTTTCCCGGCTGTGCAGGCAATAGACGAAAATATACTGTTTAAAATAAAAGTGGACATTGAGATCAACACCCAGCTGTTAAAGTCTGTTTCATGTTTAAACGCAATCTTCAGGCTATGTGTGGTGTGTTTTGTATCGACTATTTATATCTGCTGGTCAATGGTGCATTATAGGTATGTTGTATTATTCTAACGATTATTTGGTGGGCGGTAGCGGCTAAGTTTCAAATTATTCTAGGGGCTAGTGAGTGGAAATAATTGTGGATCCGAATGCAGTCTTGTGACTATTCTATGGTGTTGTTCGTTAACTGCTTTTTACTCATTATTTAGTTATTAAAGACATTTTTATTTATGTTTAACGTTGTTATTTTATAGATACAAGTATTTAAGCAAATGCTCTGTTTAAGATAAACAGTATTAAATAACATTTACCGGCCTGAATGTCCGAGAAATTTTCATAGAAAATATTCGTTCATAGACAGGATTCGAACCTGCATCCTATACGGAACTGTCATATACGCTGACATGCCTTAACCACTCGGCCACCATGAACCTTATGGTAGACAAGGTCGAATTTACTGTTATAAACTACAATCTTCCATAAATCTCGTACATTCATAACTGCTCTGGCGTATCGAATGTAAACAAATGACGTCATATGTTAAGAAATGGACAAGGTCCGACAATTTATTTATTAAAGACATTTTTTTTATGTTTAGCGTTGTTATTTTATAGATAACAAGTATTTAAGCAAATGCTCTGTTTCGTTGATAAACAGTATTAAATAACATTTATGGGCCTGAAAGGACGAATATTTTCTATGAAAATTTTCGGACATTCAGGATTCGGTAAATGTTATTTAATATGTTTATCTTAAAAAACAGAGCATTTGCTTAAATACTTGTATCTATAAAATAACAACGTTAAACATAAATAAAAATGTCTTTAATAAATAAATTGTCGGACCTCGTCCATTTCTTAACATATGACGTCATTATTTAGTATTGATTACTTTTTTATATGTTGTTGATTGTTATTATCTCTACTTGTGTTTATGGGTCTATTTGTTGTGTCTTAATTAGTTTATTATTTACATAATTTGTTTATTTATTCATTGATTAGATTTATTTTATTTTTATTGTATTTATTTTTATTTTATTTTATTTATTTATTATTATTATTGGTTCGTTTGTAGTTTTTTTTTATTTTACTACGTTATTTAATACAATGTAGCAAAATTTGATTTCCGGTTATTTACATACGTTCTATCGCTGATGGAGCGGTTTAACCCATAAATATAGCATAACTTGAAGCTATATTTTTATCACACACACACACACACACACACACACACACACACACACACACATATATATACATATATATATATATATATATATGGTGTATGTTTGATGAAATGTTCCTTTCGACTCCTAGAAATTAGATAAAGGAAAAGACCTATCGATCGATTTGTTACGTACACCAACCTGTATTTTTTCTTAAATAACCCGATTGTGTTAAGTATCTGTGTTCTTTAGTTAGTTAATCCGATTAGTCTACGATATAAACGTTTGCTTTTTCTTTCCGCCATGTTTTTTGTCCTTTCTGATTCCATTTTTGCCGAATTCCAATCAGAACATAGAACGGGACGGAATATTTTTCCAGAAATTTTAATATCATTTTATGGAACCTAAAAATAAAAATAAAAACAAAAAAAGAAATAAAATAAAAAAGAAACTGACATTCTGTCTTTCCCCCCTCTTTGCTTTCACCAATCCATAAAGAGTTTGAAATCAGTTTTATATCCCCCAACTATTTTCGTTTATTTTTGTCATATTTATAATGGAATGATCTGTTCATAAATGCTTATATTTCAGTCAATGCAAAAAACAAAAATAATTAAAAAAAAAAAAATCTTTCCGATTTTATTTATTTTCATTTTTTAAAAGTTTCTCCTAATCCTTTTTTCGAATTCAATTCGTTTAACGAGCTTAACAAATATATAAGTGGATTTTGTCGCCGACCGAATCGTTCTGATTTTAAACTTCCTTTTCTTCGTTTCGCTCTATCTTGTCGTCTGCAAACTTACAGACGCCCGGCCGCCATTTTACTTCGGATCCTATTCAAATGAAAGAGATGGAAGGAAGTCTTTATGAGGTTTTGGCTGACCACGTAATTATTTTGGAAGACGAAAGCCTAAACATTTGCAGTTTAAAAATCAAGCTTTATTTATATAAAATATATAGGAAATTTATGCAAAAAATAATACATGCATGTTTCATTTGTTAGAATTCGATTTATATAAAGAAAATAGAAATCACATATAGATTAAAGTTGTTCATATGGGTAGGCATTATCAATAATTTCTCCACTAGTAATTCTTTCAATTTAGTTTCAATTTCTTTTTCATCGAAACCTGTTTAACTGTTAATCCAACACTATTAATAAACACGTAGGAATTTCCGTCTAGACAAAATCCAAAGACGGATATGCAATGTGATAGGTCCTGACATGGCATCTCTCGACAAAATCCAAAGACGGAAATGCAATGTGATAGGTCATGAACTGGCATCTCTCGATATAATCCAAAGACGGATATGCAATGTGATAGGTCCTGACATGGCATTTCTGGATAAAAACCAAAGACGGAAATGCAATGTGATAGGTCCTTAACTGGCATCTCTCGATAAAATCCAAAGACGAAAAATGCAATGTGATGGGTCATGAACTGGCATTTCTGGATAAAAACCAAAGATGGAAATGCAATGTGATAGGTCCTTAACTGGCATGTCACGACAAAATCCAAAGAGGGATATGCAATGTGATAGGTCTTGACATGGCATCTCTGGACAAAATCCAAAGACGGAAATGCAATGTGATATATCCTGAACTGGCATCTCTCGATAAAATCCAAAGACGGAAATGCAGTGTGATAGGTCCTGACATGGCATCGCTCGACGAAATCCAAAGACAGATATGCAGTGTGATAGGTCCTCACCTGGCATCTCGACTACATTCACTTTCTCACAAATGTGACGTAGC